ACATAAACATAGAGTTAAGCTCTGACTTTGAACTTGTATTTTCTCTCATGACAATATAATGTATAATATATACAAGACACAAAAAAAGAAAAGAAAAGAAAAAAGAAAAATTAATCTAATATAGGAGATGCTTCAGAAAGTGATGATGGTGACATTGTTTTTGTTATTTCACCTGGTGATGGATTACCTTTTCCTGGTGATGGATTAGATAATGAAGATAATAGTCTATTATTTGTACTCAATGTTGGTGAAAGAGATATATCATTTTCATTATGTAATGATAGATGTTTATTAGTATTAAGTGTTTCATTAGTTAGAGATTTTTCATTATTAATTATTGGTCGATTCATTGTACCATTTGTTGATAAATGACTATTTTCATCATCAGATATAATCATAGATTTTCGATCTTTAGGATCATCTTCATCAAGTTCATCATCATTATCATCATTTGTTAATAAACTTTTTCCTATTGTTTCATCAATTTTATATAATTTTCGAAATTTTTTTTCAACATATCTTTGAATTAAATCAGCTTGTTCTAATGAACAATAACCATCATCAACACATCTGAAGATTATACAAATTAAAACATTAAATTATTCACTAATAGAAACATATTCATCTGTTCGAGGTTTTTTTGTATGGTAGATTCAAAACGAATAATATCGACTTAGAACAAAGCAAAAGTAGCCTTAGTAGCACTATAACATTTTTTACAAGATTCATGGAGATTCTCTCTATAAAGACACTGGGAAATAAACTGATGTTCAATTGTTTTGAGAGATGGAGTCTGGTCTCAGAAAACAAATTATGGTACAGTATGAGTTTAAATACAGAAGCAAAAAGTTTTCCCTATTCACATAAATCAGAGTTGAACAGCTTTGATTGAAATTCAAATAATATCGTAATAATAACAGAATTCTAGAGTACTGTTTGGACTATTAATATGCATATTAAACTCCCTCGAGCATGCCCTAAATAATAAAACAACTTTCTTCGATAGTAATCATCTTGTAAAATCTTCAGCTTTTTAAATCTTTTTCTATTATTTTCAAACTTTTTTATTTCACCTATATGAAAAACCATGTCTAACATATTTTCGATAGAGGTAAACTCGATGTTTGCTTATTTTTTCAAGCGTTAAAATTTGTTTTGGTCACGATTATTTAACGAGAAAATGTTTTAAGATTGATCAATAGCTGTCAAATTCAGACTCTGTGCATCAGGTAGATTCCAGAGAGATATGAAAAACCTCAAAACTATAAGTCTCCTTAGACCTACCTTCTGTCCAGAGTTATAGGCATTTTACTGGAACTTTAGCTTTTAGCATGGCACATACCAACAAATGGAATGATGATATTTCAACTTGAGATTATTCTCACAGACAGGTCTATTTGTCATTAAAATAGCCCTAGAAGTTTCAACTCAAAAAAAAAAAAACAGACAGAAAATTCTATCATCTTTCGTGAAATATGAGTGACTTTTATATCTCGAGAAGGAAATATTCAGGACACTCCATTGACAAATCTATTTGTAGGCAAAAATCTCAGATCAAAATACGATCATTTGATTTGTTGGTATATACACCAAGTAATTCTCAATACAGTAAAATTTTCATTTTTTTTTTTCTCAATTAATTCTAATCATATAAAATACTAGTAATTTACCTTGAAATAGTAATAAGAATAGGATGTTTTTTAATTGATTGCAAAACTTTCGCCATAGCTTCATGTAAATAAATAATCATTTCTTCTGAAGAAACATGTAATGGTGGTCTTGTATCTGATAAATGCATTCCATAATTATGAATAGTTTTCCAATCTAATTTTTTATAACGTATAATAGCAATTAATGCTGATAAATAAGGATTACTACAATAGAATAAAAATTCATTTCAATAATAGATTTAATAGAAAAATTTACTCAATAAGTATTGGTTGATCTAATTTTGGATCAGTTAAATATTCATCCATATATGTACGAATTTGTTCTAATGCATTTTCACGTGCTGTTATATATCGTTGAATTTCAATATCTGTATGATCTTGTACAATACGTGTATAAACATAACGAAGAATTTCATATTCATTTTCATCTAATTGTTTACGTATAAAATCATCTGTTGAAAAAAATGATAAATTAATATCAATTATAAATTGTCTTGTTTCAAGTAATTGATCGATTATAGTTGCATCAAGTGGATATACTCGTTGTATAATTTGATTATCTTTATGATTTATTTCATTCGTTGATAATTTTGGTTTTTTTCGATTATCAGCATCAAGACTTTCACTACCACTTTCATTATCATATATTGATGGATGAGATTTTTCTATATTAGTTGAATAATTTTTTGCTAAGCCAGCTGTTGATATATAAACATCAAATGTATGAATATTTGAAAGTTTATCAACAGATGAATAAACACAATTGGAAGTAAAATATGGATTCGTTGAGGTCACTCTAAAAAAAAATACATAAATTGACAGTCAATGAGATTTTCAATACATAAATTTTTCAAATTTCAATGCACAAAATGCATAATTTTACAACACTAATTTATCAAAAACTTCGCCAAAATACAAGGCGATTCATAAGGAGATCTGCACTAGATGGGCGATTGCTAAGAGGTTTTCCGATACCTATGAGAGAACTTCTTCAGCTTTCTCATCTCACTCTCAGCGAATGTATATTTTCTAGAGGTCTAGACTTTCAGACTTTTCTATATCCGCAAAGCTTCAGATCAAAATTTGACAGTTTTGTCAAATGTCAGAAGGAATCCGAATTCTATGACAGTTTTCATTAGAAAACTTTGTAGTATCCATAGGAAAAAAACAGAAATTGGAAGAGAGCAACTGCAGTCGCCCAGTTAGTTGCTAAACGGATCAGTTTGAATAGCAAAAAACTTTTCAAAAATCTATTGCTTTTCTAGATTAATGTCAGTAAAAGTCCAGCCCGTAATAGAAAGTTATCCCTAGAGGAACAATGAGTTTTCATCATAGAAGACCACGGTGAATTATAATATCCGTCAAGCATGATCTTACGATTGTGATACGTCATCAGAAGAAATCAATAGTAGGCAGCAGTATAGAATTGATCGTAGGGAGTAAAATTCCGAAAATAATTGAGCAATTCAAGCAACTATCGGAATTTTTTTTCGAAACCATCAAATTCTATTGGTAGCATAACATACGTTTTAAGTGTATCAAAAAGCAACCATAATTCATAAGAGTTAGCTTCCATCACACTTAGCCAAATACTTGTCGTTACCTTAGTTCCATCCGTTTAATGACAAAATATATAACAGAGTTCATAGAAACAAATCTTGGAAGTCGCTATGCAGTATGTGAATAAGGATAGTAATTTAGATATTACGTCATATAAACAAAGTCAAGTAATACTTTCTGGCAAAATGGTTTTGTTAGCTCGATATTTTCCCTACAACGATTACTAGCTACAGTTTGACTTAAACTTCTCCGTACAAACTAACTAACAACATACTAGTTATAAGAATCAGTATATGTCATTATGTAGTCAACATGCTGTTCCGAAGTACTGAATCTGCTACTCAAACAAAAAAAATTCCACCTATTATCAAAATAAAGGCACAGCAGAATTCTTTTCTCCACGTTTACATTCTAACAAAATAAAACAGAAATCGATTTAATTAATAACGCATACAAACGTCATATAATAATCTAATCTTTATTAATCAAAGCTATTTCGATACTTTCTATCTACAAATAAGTCATTGAAATCGTATGCGAACTTTCTGCTCTTATTACTATAACAGAAACAAGCACTTCTTCGAATTTTCCAAATGAAAAATTTTTCTACTGTCAATAGTTTTTCAAAATTTCCTCTAACTTGTATTGGTAAACTAGTCTCGAATACATTTACCGATTTATCTAGTTTATAGAAGTCTTAAAAATCTCTATTTTATCTTTGTTTTGTAATGAATCTAAGTGTTCGTATGTACATACTTTAATACTCCAGTTTGTTGACATTTACCAACTTGTAATTGATATTTTCCATCTTGAAATTGATGAGCCCAAGGTGGTTTAAACCAAAAGATTTTTGTTATATATCCTCGATAAACAGCTGGAAGTATCCAAGATTGATTCGTAATCGAACTAAATAATCAAAATATTGTTTGTTAATTATTCTTCAGAAAATGTTTTGTTTTTCTGCTCTCAACATACGCAACAAGATGATTTGATGTTTCAATTTCATCAGCTTGAACACCTTTTGGTACAAGAAGATCAGCATAACTATCGAATCTAAGTAATGCAATATCTTCTCCTGATTTTAAATGTACTCCAATGTCACGAATTATTATTGGAAGAACCTTAAAATAAAAATAATTTCTTATCAAATTATGAAAATTTATTTTTAATTTTTTTTTTGTCTTACTTCATTATTATGTTCAACAATTTCAATTTTTAACTTATCTTTAATCGCGACCATTGCATTTCTTAACAATCAAATATAATCTAAAACTCAGAGAAAGAAAAAAAAAATCTTATCACACTAATTTTTTAAGTTTTAAAAACAGAAAAAATTGCATCTTGTTTATTTCTTTAAAATCCAACACTTTCATTAATTAAAGCACGTTCAAGAATAACTCGTCCTTCTTTATATCGTTGTGATTCTTCAGTTGCAAATTCATATATCCAGCCCAATTTCATATCACATTTTTTGCAACTTATATCTCGAACAAAATGTCGACCCGTTAACATTAGCTAATCAAACGAAGAGAAAAACATTCTTTTTCATTAATATAACAACAAACAAAAAAATATATGTATTGATTCATACCCGTTCTTGTACAGGACTTTGTTTTGTATTAACAATTCGACTAAATAAAAAAGCTCGACCAGTCGCACCTGTGAATCTCGTCGAGACCAATTCGTTACGATTTGTTAATGGTGTATCACAATGAGCACATGAAAATATTCGTTGACCGCCAAGATGTTCAAGAAAAATACGTCCCATATCTAGAATAAATTAAATGCATTTAGTAATGGTTTTATATTATAAGGAAATAAAGATTTTTCATATGCATTTTTTAATTGTTGATGAAATCGATTCATTGTTATGATTATTTGATTATAAAGATTATCTCCTGCTTGAGATTTTAATTCATTATGATTTAAAGATAAATATTTAATTAAACGAAGAATAAATATAAGAAATTTTTCACCAGTTTCGGGTGTTAATAACCAATTTATCATTGTATCTATATCATAATTAATATATTTTAATAAATCAATAAATATATTCGATATATTAAATAAACATTGAAGATTTTTTTTAAGATTTATTTGAAATAAAATATAACATAAATCAATAATTTCATCATCATCAAAATCATTTAATTTTAAATATTCATATAATGTTTTATTATAAATTTCATTAAGTAATAATTGTAAATTACAATCTAAATTAATTAAAACTAATTTTTCTAAAATAATTATTATTGATATATCATATTGATGATAATTTTTAAGAAGATTTTCTTTTAATGGAAGAATTTCATTAAGAAATTTTTCATCAATTTCATTTATAATTAAATAAAGAAGACGAATATATTTATATTTAAGATAAGAATCTAATGTAATTAATAAAACATTTGATAAATAATGTTGAAATGATAAATTAATAAGTTTAGTCGGATAAAGATAAACACATTGTTTAAGAATTAATAATAATCCACGATTTATTTGAAGATTTTCATTTAATATATGTTTAATAAATTCATAGAGAAGAATATTTGAACTAATTGAATGAGAATTTATACGAATAGTTTTAAGATATCTACCAAATGCCAATAACCAACTAATATCATTACTTTGATTTTGACGATTCGATTCAATTATAGATAAATCATTTGTTGAAATAAAAAGTTCATAAAGTTTATTTTCACGATCAAATTCTAAACGACGTAATGATGGTTCATTCATTTTATGATAAATATAGAATATACGATTGTTAGAATTTTTTGATCCTGTCAAATTTTAATTTGTGACAAAAAAAAAACGAAGAACACACAAGAAAGACAAACATAAACAAATAATTAACAATGGTCTTCTTCTTGACTAATCGGTAACATTGATTAACTAGATGTCGCCAGTAGAAGATTTTGCCATTGATTATGTGTTTTATGTGATGCAGAATCTAGCTGATCAGTAACGAGTATGCAGTGAATGTCAATTGTTTTCCTCCTTGGTTCTTTTTTTGATCAGCATATTTCATATATTGTAAAATACAACAGAGTGTACGAAATACACTCCATCTTTTGATATATTTACCTTGAAGAAAGAATAAAGTTTAAGCATAAAAGCTGTATATCAAAAAATGGATGTTTGTCTTTTTTTAGATAATGTACGTTCACATATGAATCATGATAAAAGAAATTTAGAAGTTTCTTATAAAAGCTTAGGTCATACTATGCATAAGCTCCTTATGTTATACTAGTTTTACGATATATGCTACTAATTTCTTCTGTATAAAATGAAATGGAACATTGATAATAATAGTAATGAGAAGCCTGTTATTACTAATCGAAGCATACTCCAATCCGAAACGAAATATCTTGAGGAGCATTCTTAAATTTATTTTTGTTTCGAATGAAACATACCATTATGAGAAGAACAAAGGAATTGGTTTATTGTTATGGCTATTTGAACTTCAGCTAGAACTGTTTTTACTAAATTTCAAGGTGTAATTTTGCTCATAGATACGATGAATGGCCTCGTAGAGTATCTATCTGAAAAGTGTTAGCAGACAACAGTGTTCTTATGTCGAGATACCGAGTTTACTTGAAAATTCAGTATGTTTACGGCTAAAATTCTACTTTTTGATCTTTTAATCGATACCTGTAGTTGGATCAAAAGCTTAGCAAAACGATAATAACTCGGCTCCAAAGATCCATGAGGACGAACTATATTAGACTTTTTTTTAGTCTTACTGTAGTCTATTTATAGGTTTCTCAATATGAGCTCAAGTGAAGGTTAATTCCTTCATTAGCTGACACTATACACTCTAGGAAAAAAATACTCCACTTTTTTTTCCTGATACAGCTATTAATCTTTAAACCGTATTCATTCTTCAAGGTGAATACATCAGAAGATGCAGCTCATTTCGTACTTTCTTGATATAAATAATATTTTAAAAAATAAATGACGAATGCTAATAAAAACTAAAAAAATATATGGAGGAGGAGGCGGATCAATTCTCTCCCATTGCAGATTACTGCAAGAAGAAAACTTTACTGATGTTTCTTCATGCGTTGTATTTAAAGAAAAGATATATAGGGTGTGCGCAATTTGGGCTATGTTCAAGTCAAATCTCATCTGTATTTCTAAAACTTTCACTCTGCGATTATTTTTGCCAACGAGTAATTTTACATTCGATTCTTCTTTTCGTTTGGCAAGTTACCAAAGTCAACAGGAGTTTTTTTTTCGAAGTTAATACAAACCTATCAACTCCCTTAGAAAAAACTGTCAATGCTCGAATTAATCTCTATTCAACATTAGAGTTGCATATCACTGTATCATACGTTTTCTTGAAATCGACAGTTGAAAATTTCAATAGAAAACTTTACGTCAGGTCAGAAATCTCAAATAGGATTAAAAGATATCTATCAGCATCTATATGGTATATTAGTGACCTTCGAAATAATTCACCTGCTCTCCAGAGATTCTCAAGATCATTGTGACCAATAATTCTGAAACTTTTAGGACGAGTAAATCTCAGTAAGTATAACAAATGTTCTGCTAGACTCATGGTTCTCAGATCATTTTTTTTCCAAAAATTGAATTATTCGAATCTTTATGAAAGAACCATGTTTTCTGACGTAATGCAGCTCTTTTTAAGATTTGCCAAAACTCACTAGTACACTACCTTTCCGAGAAAAGAAAAACACGCATCCCAATCTATTTGAAAATGTCACAGAAAAAGCTTTAGCCGTATCAGTTGTCGTATGTGGGATAAGTTTCAACATTTCTATAGAAAAATTGGTTTTTATTGTAGCGTATTTTTTTGTGTTTTTCATGTTTATTTACGGTGAAAAACTGAGTATCAATTTCTGATATGAGCTGATCAATTAGAGAACTCATCCGACTGTGTAATTACTAGTAAAAATCTGAAATTTTCGAGTCCTTCAAATGAAGGAAAGACTTTAAAAAGCAAAAGGAATCGACATAGTAAATAATAAAAGATTAAAGAGGTGAAACAAGCTCATCTATTATTTCTCTAAAATATGCAAAGGATTCAAGTTACTGAAATTGCGATCAAGCCATACAAATTCATTAAATTTTATGTGTCTACTACTATCATCATCAATCTAATATTTGCATTCTTACTCACGAAAGCCGCCTTGAATTTAAGAATTTTTTAAAAATAATTCTACATTTGATTAATGTAAAAATCGATTTGATTTATTTACATATTGTTCGAGTTTTTTACTTCATAATGATGACTAGCGATATGAATCGATAGGCTGAGATTCTGATGAAGTTGAATTTTGCGCGAAATTGTACAACGATCATTGATAAATATTCAACGTTTACGTTTTTGAATTTTTCGATGACAGATTCTATTTACACGAATATTTTGAAAATTTCTAATCAACACTATTATAAACCAAAATAAAAAATATCATGTCACCTAGTATTTTACTTCTACTGAATATTCATGAAGTAAAAAAAGACTCCATAACCTTCCTGAATTTTATATAAAAATAGGAGAAAAGCTTCATTTTGAATGATGAAACGGACATCAAAATTGATGTTTTTGCAATTCATTTACGAAAAGCGACATTTTAATTAGACAAATACAATGAATATCATTATTAATCAAAACCATACAAATAAATTGATGAAAATGGCAACTTTAGTCAATCAATATGAAATACATTGATTTTTTTGTCTGTTTCATCATTTTAATGTAATTTTTTACTTCATGAGTTGCATTTCTAATCACAATAGAATCATTACAACATTAAGTAACAAAAATATTGCTTCGATTACTCAAAGACGACGATCTATATAATTCGAATTCTAATGCAATGATTTTTTTTTCCATCTAAACCAATATAATTTTTTCATTTAAATATATACCCGAAGTAATAAAGTTATATATACGCCCGAACAAAAGAAAATAATTGCAGTCCGTCTTTTGCATCGTATATTGTCATTATAAAAATAAATTAAAAAAGATAATTACATAGTGTGACAACATTCGGAGCTTTTATATCACTCAGCGTATACATTTTTTGTTTTTTACTTATGTATTACTTAAATAAATTGAATGAAATAAAAGCATTCATCAGACACAGACTTCATTTTGCCATTATCGTAAATATTAGTTTTTCTAATTTTTCATCATTATAGTCTAATTTAAAAAAAAAGAAAGTAACGATATATATTCTAATGCAGCTTGAAATTCTCTATGACCCTACACATTTATTTATTAAGTTGTATTTATCTCCTACAACTAATAAATGTACAAACCCCGAAAAATATACAGACTGATAGAGAATTTCATCGTCTATGAGAGTCTATAATTATTTTTTAAAAAGATTGTTGAAGAGTAACGAAAAACTTTTAAAACTAATTTTTATGATAATGAGCAGAATGAAGCCCATGAGAATTTGTACATGAATGTACTTTCATGACATTCAATTTATTTCGACAGTACAGAAGAGTAAACTAAAACAAATGCACAGAGTAATAGAAAACTCCGTACACTTTCAGAATATGTAATTGGTCTTTTTTTTTGGTTATTATAATGACGATATATTTTCAATAAGGCAAACACATAAAGCATATCCATTTATTTGCAATGAAACAAAAAATAAATAAATCTGATTTTCATTAATGAAAAATGTATAAGTTGTCTATAATTGTATTATTCTTCTTGTACCAATTGTGGAACTTCTATTATAGACGTTTGAAATGATGGATGTCGATATTCTGCAATAGGTAGAAGTGAACTATTTCGACTTGATGTTCCATGTGGATGTAAATTACTCCATGGAAATATACGACGATGTTTTACTCGTTCACTTGCTCGATAATTAATATTTGATAATGGACGAATTGTTGCATCATCAGGTACTGTTAATTGTGTACCTTCAAGTCGAAAACCTCGAATTTCAATTGGCATTGATTGACTTGGATCGTGTGAATGTTGATGATGTTCATCCTGTAATTCATCAAAAAAAAAACATTTATAATATTAAAAGAACAGCACATAATGATATACCATATCTCGCGACAAACGAAGTTCTGTTGCTCGATTAGTTCGAATAGATGAATCAAGTAATGTACCACTCATTACACTATTTTGACTATTTCGTGTTGATGAACGCTGAATATGAAAGAGAAACATAAATATTTTAAAATATTATTTATGAAAATTAAGTCTTTTTTTTTAACTGACTAATGTTAAAAGTTCACGTGGTGTATTTGTTTGATGAATAGAACCAATTGAGTCTCGAAATGAATTATTTGTTATTCGTCCCATATCCGTTCTCTATTGAAAGTATTTCAAAGATAATAAATCATCATAAAAATGATTATTATTTACATGAGTTAAATGAGATTTGTTTATTTCATCATACCATTCTTGTTGAATTGGCCGTTGAGATCGTGGTGTTTCAGATGATAACTTCAAACAAATTTATTGAATGATTTTTTTTATCGATGAAAATTTTTATGTTACTTCAAGATTCGGAATATGGCGTAGTGGAACAAGTGCTTTCGTCGATGGTCTGGATGATATTGTTCCATAATCAATACTTGTCATATGTTCGTGCTAAAAGAATTATCATATAAGAACTCTTGTGCTTTTATTCCGGATTAAAACCTGCCGTTATCAAAGAAGGATCATAATTATATTCAATAGCTAATGGATCATTTGATGATGGACCTTCAATAGCTAATTGTGTTGATTTATTGTGATCCCTTTTTCGTTTAAGTGGTGGTAACTATAATAATAATTTAATAAAAAAGTATATTGATGAATTATTATACTTTATGAACTCGTTTTCGTCGAAGTTCAAGATCCCATCCTCTTCGAACCTTTAAAAAAAATCATTAGAAAAAAAAAGATAATTTCATTAAAGAATCTACCGAATTTGCATTTGATGTTTTTGGATTGTAGATTAAATTAACACTTCGTGTTTTACTTACAGAATTCCATTTAGGTCGATTTGCTGGGGACTAAAATAAATAAATCAAATAGATCATATTCATAGACTTATTAACCTACATTAACAGGTCGAAATTGAGATAAGAAAACAGTTGAAAAACGTAGATCAAAAGCCATTTTCTCGTCTTCTTCTTATAATATAAAAATGAACTTTGTCAGAACCAAAAACTTTTATTTATATTTATCATAAAAGAAATAAACTTCTAAGTGTAACTGCAATAAAATTTCCTATCAAGCATCTGCTCAATGCCTAACAACAAATGTCATCTGTCGTTTGAGAAGTAATATTTTGAAAAAAATAGATTATCAAATTACGTTGTTTCATGATATTTGTAGTTAAATAAATATATATACACCTATCGATTTAATTTTTGACAGAATACGAAAGAAAAGAACTTTTTGAATTTTGGACGACATTTTCATTACAATTTATTAAGATGATGATCGCCAAAAGAAAAATGTATGGTGGAACAGAATCCGAAGAAAAACGAAGGTAAGAGAAGTTTTGTTACATTCTTTCCTTCTCTTTCTTTCTTTCTTTCTGCAATAGACACGTATACATTTAATCTAAGAAACGAACATTCGTTTTGTTTAGATACAATTGAAAAAAATGAGTTGTCAATAACAATGAAAATTACCTCTTTATTCGCATCAATCTCTTATATGCACCTGAGATGCCTCTTACTTGTTAGCTTTTTTTTTCTATTATTCAATCTACACATACATACTCTGCCTTCTTTCTCTTTCTATTTCTTCACCTTCTCATATTAATGTTGAATAAAGTGAAAAGTAAAACGCGTGAAAAATGCAACAAGTAAAAACATATATGAAGAAAAAAGTCATTTATTATACATAGCAACTATATTACCTGTACTTGAGTTTCATTTTGCAATTCATCATTGAAATTTTCTTCGACATGATCTTTTAATTTTGATTCTTCTATCATAGAATCATTTTTATTTGTTATATCAATATTATCTGTAATTATATCATTCCATTTTGGATCATAATATTGCTATAAGAATTTATTAATAGAATAGATTAAATAATAAATTTCTACATACAGCAAAAAGTGCTTTCTTTTTTCTTCCTTGAGGTTGATCTATTTCTGACCAGTATTTTATTTTTCCTTGACTATCCCAATTTATTAAATGAGTAATTTGTAGTTTTGATTCACTTTTCCAACGAACTGTTTGATGAAAAATCTTTAAATAAAGAAAAAAACAAACAAAAGACTTTCATATCTGATTTCTTTCTAATTTACTTTAACTTGAGATTGTTTTGGTTGATAACCTTTATTTTCCCATATTGCATCTTTTAATTTAGATTTTTTTTTCCATAAAAGTTTTTTATGAATAATCTAAAAAAAAGTTAATTCAAATAAAGTTAATTCATTCTAATAAAAACCAATGCTTACTAGTTTATTAGATTGTTTAGAATCAAAAGATACATTATCCAAATAAATTTGTGGTTGACCGTTGGAATTTATATCGAAAATCTAATGTAAGAAAAAGATTAATACGTTTTTAGTTTTCGAAAATGACGATAAAGAATAATTGAAAATTTAAATTGATTATACTACTTAGAATAAAAGATCAATATTATTTTTGAAATAGCCTTGTACTCAGTTGAAGGACACCAATAGCAATCATTTTTTCATGATAAGTGTTTTGTGAAGATCAGTACTTGAAAGAATAGCTTTACCTACCAGTATATTCAATAGTCTGATATCTTCTCTACAACTAATATTGGACATAGCTCTGGACAGTAGACTAATCTGATGCAGAGTTTTTGCACTCTTCGTACACGCCTAACCAACTATTAAAGCAAGTATGTGTTTCAATGTAGTCATCATGCTATCGGACGGATGATTTGAGACAGAGAGCCATTAGTGACTTGTCAAGGATAATTTCTTGGCTGACAGTACTGTGGTTTAACTACGGTATCGTGTGAATATGTATCGAACAATGCAGCTACTCAACCATGGTGGCCTTTGATCAGTATTTGGCATAGATCATGGTTAAGGATTAGTTAATATAGATCGATTTTTGAGATTCTTTGAAGTTTCTACTAAAACTTATTGTCTTTTGCTCAAAATCTGTTCTATCGATCCGGTCGGATCATCTTAAGAAAATGAGAAAAGTTCTGGCTTTAGTCAAAAACTGAAAGGTATAACCAAGATTCAGATTTGTTTTTGGTCGAATCAACAGGCAAGCCTTTACTTCACAAATTTAATATTTAAATGTATTAGGTAATTTTCTATAATTTACAACTATTGTAATTCTCGATCGTAAAGAAAATGACTAGTACCATAATAACACTGTTAGAAATAAGTGTTGAATAATAAACTCTCATATCCATTTATGACTATTATCATAAAACCTTTTTTGATATATGAACGGAATAAACCCTTAGAGGCAAAGGATTTATCGTTGCAAGTTTTAAACATAACCCATACAATAATAAATTCTGTGTCTAAGAATTTATTCCGTTCATATGCACAAAAAAGGACATACGAATTTACATCGGGTCACAAACCATTGCCAGAGGTTATAAATAGAAAGATTTTATGAAAAGCTAAATTACTCATAAACCTGAAAATTATTTATGAGAATGGTAATAAAAAAAAATGAGAGTTTATTACTCTACGCTTATTTTTTTTTACATTGAATTATACATGACATTATAATATTCGGCTTGATTAATAGGCCAGGCCGAAACTGTTGGCCTGGCAATTAACTTTTAAAAATCAAATGCTACTGCATTGCCTAATTATTCGAGAGTACTTTAACAAATTCATTCGATTTGAGCAATAAATACTTGAGCCGAACATCAATATACTGTTGTAGGACTGCCATTGACTGTCAAAGGAACTTATTTAGATCCAAAACAATAGTATCCTTACCTGTTATTATACGTTTCACTTTTTCCCTATATTTTCGTTGTATGACTGATTAGTTAGATCAGGACGGAAAATAGTAATCCGTTAGGTACTTTCTGATAGACATTGTATCAATAAGATTAATTTACCTTTGTTTCCATTTGAGATTCTTGATGATCAGTATATGGATTATTTTCATCAGGAGTTGTTAATAATGAAGCAGTTTCCATAAGAATTTGATGACGTGGACTACTTTTTATAATTTCTGCTAATTTAGATTCACTATTCCATTTAGGTATTTTATTAAAGATCTAAGTTGTTATTTTTTAAATGTTAGTTGAATGAGAAAAAAACTCGTACACATTTACTTTAAAATGACTTCGTTGTGGTTTATGATGAAGATTTTCGTGTGAATAGGATTTAATTTTTGATTGTACATTCCATCGAAGTGGTTCATGAAAAATTTTTGGACTTCCATCGGGTAGACACCATAGTCGTCCGAAAATCTGTGGTGATAATGTCTGAAAAAAAAAACTTCTGTATTAGAAATATTTTTTATTCAATTTAATTAATTTTTACTGAAGAAATTTGTTGTTTAGATTGATTTTTATTTTTTTTTAATTTATCTTCTTTAATATCAATTTCATGATCAGAAGATATTTTTTTATGTGATTTTTTCTTTGGTAAAAGCATAAATTTTTTTGGTTGATATTCAAAATTAGCAAATGAATTAACACGTGATTTTACATGTACATATCTATCATTCGATGAATGCTAAATATGAAACATTCAATTTAAAATTAATCAAAGAAAAGAAATTTTTTTTTTCTACAAACTTTTTTTGTTAAAATACTACTAATACGTTCACGCCAATTTTTTAATGGATGATTTTCTTTTATTTGAAAAGGTGAAACATTATCAGCATATGATACATGTTGTTGTTGTTTTGATTTTTGATTTGCATTTGTTGAAGATAAATCTGATGTCTAAAATTATTCAAATTATTATCATTATTTGTCTTGTTTAAAACATACCTACATGTGTTTGTGGTAGCTGATCATGAATAGGTTTTTTTTGTCGTTGTTTTGGTCGACGTACTAAAAGAGATAATTTTGAACGTCGTTGACTTGCTGTAATAAATGGTAAACTTTCTTCTTCATGTACTGGAGACGGTGAATGTTTATCTTCATGTTTCGATTGATCTTCAATAGTTAATTTTGGTTCTAATAATGGTGATACTGGTTTTTCTAATTGATTGTTAGTATAATCGGGAGATATTGCTTGTCTAAATGTATCTTCATGTTCAACAGATGTCAGATTAGTATTGGATGCATCACTATGACGAGGAGAAAGCGATGGAGAATGTAAATCATCATCTTCATTTTCTTTTTTTTCCATAGTTAATGGTGAAACTGATTTTAGTCGAGTATTTTCTTGTTCATGTATTGATAAAGATGGTGAAAGATGTTGATTTATTAATTCATCTTGATTTTCATTTGATGATAATTCATGTTTAACTTCATGTGATTGATTATTTTGTTGAATTTCTTGTAATGATGGAGAATTTATTGAAGGACTAGGTTCTTCATTTTCTATATTCGGCTGTTGAGAAGATACGATCTGAAGATTTTCTGTATTTGAATCGTCAAAATTAATCATATCTGTTGATGTAAAAAGCATATTTTGATTGAGTGAAGGAATTGAATTTCTTCTTTCAGGTGATGCTGCTCTGGATGTTGATAATGGAAAGTTATCAGAATCAGGTGAATAAAGTACAACAGGTATTGCTGAATTACGACGTGATTCATTTGGTGTTTGTTGTTCATTATCAAGAATATTTTCTGTTTGCTTTGTTGATATTTGAGAAATATTAGGAATAGATTTAAATGACTGTTCTCGAGAAACAATATTTGTTGATGGATTTTTAGATGAATGATATAAAGAAGCAGATCGTTGTCGACTTGTATGAGATTTGTTACTTATTGGCCTTGGCCTTGAATCAGTAGGAGTCATATTTTTTAATGTAGTTTTATTTGTTGGTTTTTGTTCGGATTTCGATGGCGATGAATGAAGATTAGTTGATAAATTATTTGATTGATTTTCTAGAGATCGTTCATTGGTATTCATATTTAACGATGTTGTTAATGTTTGTTGTTGATGTTCGTTACTATTATTTTTATTTCTAGCAGATTGAGTTTGTATGTTGTCATCAATTGAAACTGGAAGCATTTTCGTTGATGGTGATGCTGAAATCGCTGTAACAATGTGTTTCGTCGTTGCATCGATTTTTTTCTTTTCTGTTTCTTTAATATATTGATTATTATTTTCAATGGTTTGTTGCTGTTCTGATGCGTGAGGATTTGGTAGTGATGTTTGAGATTGTCTGATTAAAGTATTACTTCTATTATCGTCAGGCATTATTTCAGATTCAGTTGGTGGAACAAAATTATATGGATCAATTGATATAAGATCTTCTTCACCTTCATAGTCATTTCCAAAATCACTAAAAAAATAATTCGTATCAAAATTAGTACTATTTTCTGGATTTTTCATTGTTTGTGAAGAAAGAGAAAGTGTTTCTTGAGTTCTTATTGATAGACGAGAATGTTTAATAGGTTTAGAAAGTATTGTATTATTTAAGTTTGCTTCTTCTTTATCATATGGTTCGTGAGAGTTGACAACGTTTTCAGTGGCTATTTGAATTTTAGGTTCAGGTGCAGTTTGCATAAGTAATTGAAAATCTTGAATATTTAATTTACTGGATGATGCTAAATCATGTAGAGATGCAACAGTTGATGATCGAGCAAAATTTGTATCAATGGGATTCTTTTGATGTAAATCTTCTGTTGATTCATTAATTGTCATGTTATGATTTTCAACATATTCTGGAACTAAAATTAATGCACGATGTTGTGATAAATCAGATTGTTGACGACGAAATTGATCAAGAGAAAATATTTCATGAAAATTGAACTGAGATACTTCATCAAATGTTGATTTAAGATCAGAATTTTCAGGATCATTTTCACGAATTTCAATTTCGTCTATTTCTGGTCCATAATGATATTGACCAACAAATAAATTTGAAGTGGTTTGTTCAGGTAATTTTGGTGTTGATTGTTGTGATGTTTTTTTTGTTTCACTTGTTATACGTGGAACAACTTGATAAACTCGTTTAGGTTTATTTGGCCAAATTTTCTTGTCATCATTTGGTAAAGGAGTTTTTTTATGACTTGATGTTTGTCGTACACCTACTATAGGCGAAAGATGAGGTGGAACATAATGTGAAATTGATGGTCGCTTCTTTAATGACGATAATTCTTGATCAATCTCACTGATATTTTCTTGAATGTCTTTTAATAAACGTTCACGCATAACACTAGCTGTAGTAAGACGTTCATTATTAATTGATGATTGTCGACTTGGATTTGGTGGTTTATATGTTAATGGAAGAGACGTCACAGGCGATCGATGATGTTTCGAAGGTTCTAGATTATCAAAAACTGATATTGGTTCAACTAAATCAGAAATTGTTGTCGATGGTTGATATTGATGTTGAGCACGTGGTGTAGAATATGTAGGAACAGGTGTTGCATTTGAATAAAGAGTTTGTCGACTACGTAAACGACGATCATAATATTGATAATGAGCATTTCGTGAAGATGATGAACTCGATGGAAGTAGAAAAGAATAGTTTCTATAATCGTTATTTTGATTACGACGATGCATACCATCTATTGTATTTTAAGATTGAATATGAAAGAAAATGAAGAAAATTTGGTTGATTCTGCTTTTAACTGTATTTATTCATGAAGTAAGTATGCCTTTTTCTTTTTTGTTTTTTTTGCGTTGAGTAAAAAACATTTAATGAATAAACAAAGTAGCTTTTTGCGGCAGTCTTCTTGCATTTATTATTCACCAATGCATGAGTATGATTGACACAAGTTTAAGTTGTAAAATATAGAATTAAGCAAAATATTGTCGCATCAATGTCTTTTATCCATCCATTCACAAATGCATGCTATTGAAGTATTCTTTAATTATTGTATTTGACCTAAATATCCTTGTGCAAATACATTTAATCAATGGGTCAATTTCAATCGATATGGGGATAGACATGTAAAGATAGTTCCGGATGAGAACTTGTATCTATTGATTCTATTAGAAATTACATGAGAAAATTTGAACCGAATCTTCTTGCGACAAATATAAGATAAATTCTAAAGACTGATGATCAGTTTGAAATATAATATTGAGAAAAAAGTCATTAGAATTTTATTTGGCTTATATGTATCCAGTATTTGTTTGAAATGTATAATGTGTTGGCAATGATTCAAGGATGAGTTATACAACATATTTAGAAATGCATTTAATTTTATAGTTTCAAATTAAACTTATTATGACTTTATTAAAAAAATGTGATTGTTTTATCATGTATGATTTCATTGCTCACAACGATTCAATTATTACAACTGACAAAACTTGAGTATTCTGTTAATAGTGTATCGACTTGTTTTCAGCGAAATCTCTCTAGGTCAACTAAAAGACATATTCTCTACGATCTTGAAAGAGAACGTGTTTGTACTTTTCGTTACCGTCAGCTTCTCATTTTTAAACTGTCAGTAATCTTTAACAGCATACAATTTTGTCGTTTAAAAGCACTATTACAATTTAATATTATAGTAATGATAAATTTAAACTTATTTAACTAATTTCAAAAGGTTTCAGAGATTTATTGTAATATGACTAAATACAGTTGTTTACATAGGGTGTGGGTGTTATGCAGATAAAAAGAAGGTCACACCATCATCCACAATCAAACTCACACTCAAAACTGACAAGAGGAAATTAATTGATGGAAATAAACTATGGAAATCGGTATAGTGATCAAATAAAATTCTTCAGTAATTACTGTAGCCATCAATGGGACGGTATGACTCTGGAGTCGAATGCTTCGATTATTATACGTGGAATAAATTGAAGAATGACTCATACTAATCTAACTGATAAAATGAAAAACTTTATTGATTACAATTCTATGTTCAAGACACATCCGACAGATTGGACAATTTAAATAAATATTCTATATGCCAGTAATAGGGTTTCAAGATATGAAACATTCAGTTATTGATATCAACTGAAAAAGAGCATAAAAGAACTATTTTCATATCAAAATGATAATAGACATTATGGATGCAACGATGACGGTGGTTCACCAATGCACCGTTCACCGGTCCACCGGTATACGGTACTGAGTGTATGAATATGACACCTAACAGGAGTATTTTCATACAACTGACATGTGCTAGCATCAAGATATCTGAATATAAAAGATGCTTATGCAAATAACTTCGAAATACAATCTCAACTAATACTCTTAAGGCCAATAATGCCGGTTAGAACATCAGGGATCTACGGTGATGGCCGATTTCTATCGTTATTCGGATGTGTTGAGGCTCAGTGTATCCAGTAATGTCTATCCATCGATCATCACCGTAGGTTTTCATGGCCCAACCGGTTCTATACCTAGCATCATCATTGCACTCATGTGCGAAACAATGTTTCATTTGTCGTAGCATCGTGCACTCCATTATATAGTACTGAGCCTCAACGCATCCGAATAATGATAGCATCGGTCATTACTGTAGATTCCTGGTGTCCTAACCAGCATTAGTAGTATTCATGAT